AAAACACTTATAGGATATAGCTGCTAAAAAATTGTGTGGGGTTTCCTACATTCATGTACACATGTAAGAGAACTTTGAACCTTCCGTCGACACTTCTAGTGCCTGCTAGTGCCTGTACACAATTTAACCACAGTCATTCAATTTCCACTGCTAGGAAATACAAAATAAATTATTATAGCAGTATTGATAAAATAGCAATACACAATTACATCAGAAAAAGAGGTTTCCATTTTGGTTATTAGCTGTTTATCCCTATTTAAGCAATAAATTACCTTAGAAGATGGCACTTTAAAATTACAATAACAGGAAAGGAAAAAAAGGTGTTAGTGATTAAAAACAACTATAGATAGTTAATTTAATAAAGATTTTAATGTAGCCATTAAATTCTCAAGTTGAGCTAGAGTTATTTGAAGGAAGTGTCGGCCATCTGGAGATGTGACAACCTGGGCTAGATCATCAGAAGTGAAAGATAAGTTTGGACACGGTTCCTTAGCGTCCGCCCAGAAGTTTATCAGCAGGTTACCAAGCTCCAACAACACGTCTGGTGTTGCACAGTTCATACATCTGCAAGAAAAGACAAATTACCTTTTACTGTATTTATTATTAATACATTTGATTCCCCATGAAATATGGTATGAATTTATTGTCTTATATTTGAACAGTAAACCATGCAAATAACGAGTCCTATTTTCTCAGATTACACTAAAAAATTTTGTTTAAATAATTGCATAATAATCACCACCTTTATTACTCTACAATAAACATATCATTAGTGCAAATGCAAAACACAGTATCTTGGGAAGAAATTCAGTAGAGTATGTTATATACAAATAATTCAGCCAATTTAAAATGTATATTTTTAAGAAATTTGTGTTTTCTCATTAGTATATGTAGTTTATAGTTTTTTCTAGGGTGAGCCCTCCTTGAAGCTACCATCTCATCCTCCTAGCTCTCCTTGAAGCTACCATCTCTGATGTAAGGGCCATCTATTAACACTTTCCCATTCCCAGCGCACGCTCCCTAGCCTACCTCTAGGTGCGCCAAGCTTGCGGTCAGACTCAAATACGGAGCTTGGGAGCTTGCAGTCAGACTCAAATATGTATACTCTTTTCAGTTTTCTTACCTCAATTTTCGTGTTACATGTTCATTTTGGTATCTTTTTGTTCACAATAGAATTCCCTACAGGAATATATATATACGAAGTCTAAAAGTCGGGCATGCTACCCGCACCAAACTCACAAATCGGCCGAGGGTTACCTGCGAGTGCGCAACTCTACCAAAATGTGTACTCTTTTCGGGATTCTCACCTCAATTCTCATGCTACGTCTTTCATTTTGGTATCAATGTGTTCGCAATAGAATTCCCAACAGGGGTATATGCATATAAAGTCCAAAATCCTAACCCCTCCCCCAGCCAGCAAAGGTGAAAGTCAGCCAAGCATTAACTGTGAGCGAGCACACTTTTACACACCCGCTACACCTGCACACAAATGCATATAATCTTTTTAGTTTGATAACATAAATTTTCGTGTTACGTCGTTCATTCTGGTATTAATTTGTTCGCAATAGAATGCTCTATAGGAAAAAAAAGCCATACTTACAACCTAATGATGTTTGTAGACTATGAGTTGAGCATTAGGATGAACCACTCCACCTGCTCCAGGAAACTGTTTCCTGAAGTTATTCAACCGATGTTTTATAGGTGGAGTGGATGATGGGTAAGCATTCCTGTTTATTCACCCAGTATGTCCTCTTGCAATGGTACAAGCCAGAGCATGGTGTAGCACACTGTGCCACATCACACGACTTACACTTATCTTTGGTGTCCTTCCTTTTACCATTTTTGCAGCAAACACGACACTTCAGCACTTTCTGGATATGAAATAGGGAATGGTTCAAGTTCCTGCCAGATGTTCTTGTTTATCAACAATACAAGTGGTTCTCCTAGCAGTAGCACCAGAAGGAATAATCTGACTCTCGTCTTCTGAGTCAGATGATGATTTGTCATGTCGAGTTGAAGATGGGAACAGTGGTCGCCTCACACCTGATGTGAGGCGACACACTGGTGTGTTGGCGATGATGTGTTGGCGCCTGATGTGAGGCGACACACCTGGTGTGTTGCAACACACCAGGTGTTGCAACATTGTCACCAGTAGATGTGCTCCCACCATCATGTACATTACCAGCATGTCTGATGTTGTCATTTTGGAAAGGCCACTTCTTAGAGTCAAAATTCAGCAGTGACCAAATGATGACTTCATGGAACTGTAGCAATGTGAGTTTCTTTGTATCGCTTGTGTAGTACTGGTATAACACAAAAGCATTATGAGTTATGATCAAGTAGAACCTGATTTTCTTCGTCCACTTGTGACATTTTCTGTGCGAAATTATAATATTTGACCATTTGATCGAAGTGATCAACACCTTTCATGCTGTTATTGTAGTTACAGATTGCGTTTGGTTTGTTCACAGTGTCCTGTTGCAATGAAGATGTTCCGACAGATTTGTGTACATGGGAACTATGCCAAATATCCATCCAAGTTAAAATATTTTGTCAAGTCTTGAGAATATTAGGTAGATGAGTGTGTTAATAAGAAAGTGCACTAAATACATGTTTCAATCAAATATTACCTGTAAATAGTGGATCCAAAGTTAATCACAACAGCTTGCAGATTTTTTGCACTGCTTCGGGCATCTTCTATTGACATATTTTTTCTGTTGTTAAAAGTGGGTAGATTGTGTGGAAGTCTATGGGCATCAAGTATCATTGCTCTGAAATGACAAAGTATACAGTTCAGTATTTGCTTTTAGATTAATTTAAATATTGTAAATAAATAGATGAAGAGAGTAAATAGGATATAAATACAGTTTCAAATATATCAACACAAAATAGTATCTAAACAATGGATACAAATTGGATTCATTTAGATTTAGAAAAGACCTGAGTAAATACTAATTTGGAAAAAGGTTTGTTGATTTATGGAACAAATTACTGGGTAACATAACATTATTTCAAGCTAAGGTTATACATATGAATGAGTTTAGGTGAATATAAATAGAAGCTGGTTCACCCTATTGCCCCATACAAGAAGCTGCCTTGTATGGGGGAATAGACCTGCAGTTTCCTTAATTTTTATATTCTCATGATCTTGCATCTCCCCTCCCCCACCTTAAATCTGTGTCTGCTGTGGCACTACTAAGTATGACAAGTCCTCTGTGTGCAGAGAAAACTATTCCCCCCTCTCCCCATTTTTTTTCATTCCAATGTTAAAATGCATTCCTTGATCACAGGAATATAAAACAAATTCAGTATTTGACTAACTTTGGCCATGGCGGGGCTAGGAAACAGTCTGGCAATATTCAGGCGCTGAGCCAGCAGTCCAGCCATGATGTGTGGCAGGGGTTGCCACAAATATATTTTACATTAATATTTCAATGTCTCTGAATGTTTTTTATCTAGTTTTCTGTTTGGGAGTAATATTATTCAGCAGTGTGTAATTCGACGAACTGAAATGGTTAAATGTGTGAAACATAGCTATACTAAAAAAATATGGTGCTCATATATAGGACACACACATTACATTCTTTGAACAATAAAACAGTATTTTGATGTTATTACTCTACACACACACACACACACACACACACACACACACACAAGATAAAGACAGATAAAGACTAGATAAAGACAGTCTATTTAACACAAGGGGCACACGTACTAGGGGACACAGGTGGAAACTGAGTGCCCAAATGAGCCACAGAGATATTAGAAAGAACTTTTTTAGTGTCAGAGTGGTTGACAAATGGAATGCATTAGGAAGTGATGTGGTGGAGGCTGACTCCATACACAGTTTCAAGTGTAGATATGACAGAGCCCGATAGGCTCAGGAATCTGTACACCTGTTGATTGACGGTTGAGAGGCGGGACCAAAGAGCCAGAGCTCAACCCCCGCAAACACAACTAGGTGAGTACACACACACTGATGAAGTGTGAAATGAAAAGTGGGAAGTGAAAAATCGGACGAGAAAAAGTTGCGCTAGTGTTTCCAGTGCAGGGAAGAACATTCAACATGGCTGCCAGCAAGAGGAAAAACAAAACTGACTTTGATTTTGTGGGATTCAATGAAGAAAGCATTGATATTAGCAGTCTGCATAACAAGTTGGTAAAATTAGATACTAGAGTGAACTCTCATGTAGAAATAATTAGTAAATTGAAAGAAAGTAATGACCATTTGAATAGCAAAGTTTTATGTCTTGAGAGTTTAGTGAAAGACTTGTGCAAGGACAAGAATCAATTGGAAACATTTTGCAAAGCCATGGAAGAGGAAAATAATCTCTTAAAAATAGCTTTGGAAGAACTTAAAGCAAACTTAAACATAAATGGCTACAATAGGTTAGATAAGGAAATTCAACAAGAGAAACAGCTTTTGTCAGCACAGATAGAGGAAGTTACACAGGGAATAGAACAGTGCAAGAAAGATATGCAACTCTCCTATGCACAAGTTGCCAAGGAGAAAGAAAAAATTGAAGAAGCAGTAAAGGAAGCCAAACACTGCAGCAACCAAGATAAAACAAACATTAGGCTGGAAGTGAGAAAGGAATTGGCATCTAACCCGAAGTTGGTGCAAAACACAGTTGATCGGAGTAAGTCCCTGATAATCTTTGGTTGCAAAGAGAAGGAGATAACATCTAGGTCAGAAAGAGCTGTAGAAGAAGCGAAAGTAGTAGATAAAATTGTTGGCCTCGTAGGTCTTACTACCATAGAGAATGTGTGCGACTACAGGAGAATAGGCAGATACATAAAAGAGAAAGATCGACCTTTGAGGATCACCCTAAACGATGCCAAACAGATGGAAGAAGTACTAAGGAATGCTAGAAAATTACAAAGTGATGAGGATGGGAAAGTGTGGTCGTTAAGACGAGATCTTTCAAAAGAAGACAGAGAAGCTGAAACTGAACCTCGCCGAGGCAAAACGTTTAAATGAGAGCAGGAATGAAGAAGAAATCAATTCTTTTTTCTACAAAGTGATAGGGGTAGGCAGACCAGTAAAGTGGTACATAAAGGCAAACTAACAAAATCAATAAAGAGAGGGGGAGTGAAGAATAAGGAGAGGGGAAACAAGTTCCTGAAGATTGCATACACCAACATAGATGGAGTGAGATCGAAGATACTGGAGTTAAGTGATGTAATACAGCTGCAGACACCAGACATTGCTGCACTCACGGAGACAAAACTTCAAGATGTTATTTTAAATGAGGTCATATTCCCAAGGGGCTACTCAATTTGGAGACGGGACAGAAAAATTAGGAAAGGCGGTGGCGTTGCTGTGCTGGTGAAAGAACACCTAAAGGTGAAGGAAATAAGGACTGCCAATCCACAAAAAGTTGATATAATAGCACTAGAGATCTGCCATGAGGATGATAAACTAATGATCATAAATGCATATAGTCCACCGCCAAGCAGCACGTGGTCAAAGGAGGAGCTAGATAGTAAACGAGAAGGTCTTATAACAATAATGAGAGAGATTACAGCGAGAGCGGATAACGATAGATCACGACTGTTGATAGTCGCTGACTTCAACTTGAAATCCATAGACTGGGAAGCATATGAAGCTAAAACAGAAGATTTTTGGACCTCTAGACCTCATCCTGGAAACATTCTTGTATCAACATGTTAAACAAGCTACGAGGATGAGGGAAGGGGACGTTCCCTCCATGCTAGATTTGATATTTACCAGGAAGGAGGAAGAGATAATTGACATTCAGTACCTTCCTCCCTTGGGTAAAAGTGACCAAGTCTTTTTGGGAATACAGTATGCAATGCATTATAATCTGGAAGAAAATAAGGAAGTTGAAGCAGTTGAAAAACCTGACTTCAGGAGAGAACATTATGGCAACCTTAGAAATTTTTTTAGTGAGTATAATTGGACAGACTTGATGCTAGGCAAGGAAGTGAATGAGATGTATGTCAAGTTTTGTGAAATATATGATAAAGGCACAAAAAAATTTATACCAAAACAGAGATGCAGAACTAGATAACAGGATTGGTTCAATAGAAATTGCGAGAGGGCCAGAGACCAAAAGACACAAAAATGGAATCAATACAAGAAGAGGCCAAACCCCCAAACATATCAGCGATACAAAGATGCGAGAAACAACTACACGGCAGTGAGGAGAGAGGCAGAAAGAAATTTTGAAAAGGGGATTGCAGACAAATGTAAAACAGAACCAGGTCTATTCTATAAATTCATAAACAACAAATTGCAGGTAAAGGATAATATTCAAAGGTTGAAAATGGGAAAGAGATTCATGGAAAATTAAAACAAAATGTGTGAAACACTAAACGAAAAGTTCCAAAGTGTGTTTGTACAAAATGAAATCTTTAGGGAACCAGACACAATAAGAATTCCAGAGAACAACATAGAGCACATAGAGGTATCAAGAGACGAAGTGGAAAAAATGCTCATGGAGCTAAGTAAGAACAAAGCAGTTGGTCCAGATGGAGTTTCACCATGGGTTCTGAGAGAATGTGCACCTGAGCTCAGCATTCCACTTCAACTGATTTTTCAGGCATCCCTATGTACAGGAGTCCTAGCAGATATGTGGAAAAAGGCTAACATAGTTCCAATCTACAAAAATGGCAGCAGGGAAGACCTCCTCAATTATAGACCTGTATCATTGACAAGTGTAGCAAGTCAAAATATTGGAAAAATAATTAAAACTAAATGGGTAGAACACTTGGAGAAAAATTATATAAGACAGACAGACAGTGTAGTTTTCGATCTGGAAGATCCTGTGTAAAGAATTTACTCGGTTTCTATGATCGAATCACAAAGATTCTACAGGAATGAGATGGTTAGGTTGGCTGCATCTATCTGAGCCTAAAACAGGCTTTCAACAGAGTTCCACTTAAGAGGGTGTTCTGGAAACTGACATATATTGGAGGAGTGACAGGTAGGCTTCTAACATGGATGAAAATACACACAGAAATCACATTAGCGTAATGCATCAAATGAACAAATCCACAAGGGCTGTGATGAGGGTTCGAACTTATGCCCAGGATGATCCCAGATGCTGCCTTAGTGTACTAGGCCACGACATGGTCAAAAGAATTGCAACCGGGAATTCCACCGACTTCACATGGATCCTGCAGCTTCTCCAAGACACAAACCAGGGTTTTACACAATTCCCCCATACACTCAGGCTCTGCCAACAAGCTGTTTTACCTCTTCGCCCTCACTTCAATGCACACAGAAATCAAAGAGGTAGAACAGCTTGTTGGCAGAGCCCGAGTGCATGGGGGGAAATTGTGTAAAACCCTGGTTTGTCTCTCGGAAAAACTGCAGGATCCGTGTGAAATCAGTGGAATTCCCAGTTGCAATTCTTTTGATCATGTCGTGGCCTAGTTGACTAAAGTAGCGTCTGGGAACATCCCGGGCGCAAGTTCGAACCCTCATCATGGCCCTTGTGGATTTGTTCATGTATGAAAATAATTCTAACCAACAGACAAATGAGGGCAGTAATCAGAGGTTATCTTGAGATGATTTTGGGGCTTAGCGTCCCCGTGGCCAGGACCTTGACCAGGCCTCTTTTTTTTTTTTTTTTTTTTTTTTTTTTTTTTTTTTTTTTTTTTTACACCCCATCCCTCCAGGAAGCAGCCCATAGAAGCTGTCTAACTCTCAGGTACCTATTTACTGCTAGGTAACAGGGGCATCTGGATGAAAGAAACTGCCAATTTGTTTCTGCCTCTACCGGGGATTGAACCTGGAACT